CCTTGCCTAACTCCTCTTTTGACGTCAATGTTAATATCGTTGTAGAATGTTGATATCCTGGTTGTGAAATTTTTCTACGGTTCACCAGGGAATCTTTGTGTACTGAGTTGGGAGTCCTTGACTATTAAGGGCTTCCAAGACTGCTTCTGTCTCAATTGAATCATAAGCCTTCTGTAAATCGATGAAAGTGAGACAGGGCGGTCTTTTGTACTCTCGCGATACTTCAATGAGTCTTGTTATCGTGTGGATGTGATCCATCGTACTAAATCCTTCTCAAAACCCTGCTTGCGCACACGGCTGTCCTTCGCCCAGTGTTCTGCCAATCCTGTTTAGGACGACTAGAATGAAAAGTTTGTAGACGACAGCAGATCGGGCGATAGTTGCCGATATCGTGTAGGTCACCCTTCTTGAACAATAACACGGTCTTGTTGGTCTTCCACTGAGTAGGGACCTTGCATTCAGACAGGTAACGTGTGAAGAACCGACCCAGTGTATTTACGACAACTAGTGGAAAGTTCTTCAGGTGTTCTGATCTTATCATGTCCGGACGTGGTGCTATTCGATTTTTCACCGACGAAATGGCATGTCGGATTTCTGAAGGGAGAACCGGTGGTAGAACATATCCACCCTTTATTCCATATGACGGAAGGTGGACCTGGCTATCGAAGAGATCTGAGTAGTATTCGTGAATGATTTTCTCCACTGCTTTTCTGGACGCTATAACTGTTTCATCTGGGCGTCGGAGTGCAATCATCTTGGTTTTGTAATTAGCAAAGCTTCGGTGTGCTTTGCGAATGGTTTTCCAGCCTCTGCAGCTCTAACCATTACTGCTGCCCTTTTCTCTTTAAGATCTTCTTTTATCGCGTGTCTGCATTGTTTTGCAGCTCAGTCGTCAATCGCGGTTGCCTAGAGCTCGTGCGATTCCATGCTGGCGAATTAGATTGAGTGTTTCTGGAGACAGACGTCTCTTGGTGACTTTCGAACTCTCAGTTTTCATGGCACTAACGTGAAGATGTTTGGTGAGCCGATTCTTATTCTTCGTCGATGTTATCGTCAACGGAATCTTTCCAACGGCCGACGAGTGAATTGAATAAGTCCCAGTTTACGGTGGTTCTGATACTTCGTTTTTCGAATTTAGCGGCTTCTTCTCCTTTCTGCTAGGAATGGAATTTTGCACGAAGAAGGCGATGGTCTGATTCCCTGTAGAATTTTAGGACAACAGCAAGATCGGTAGGGCAAAACCTTCTATTTACTCTGATGCGATCTATTTTCCCATCGCACTCTCCACTGGGAGACTCTCACGTCCAGCGTTTAGAGTGCGTCTTCTGGAAGGCGCCACTCACCACGCTCGTTCCATTCTAATCCGTGGGTCCCAACGTGACGCTCTTCTTGATCCATTCTTGGCGTTGAAATCTCGAATGATAACCTTGAAGAACGTGTGGTCTTCTCTGTAGAACTTCTCCAAGTCCGTGTAGAACGCTTCAACTTCTTCTTTGTCATAGTTTGATGTCGGCGCGTGAACGACGAAGATTATCAAAGCCGGTATTTATCCACATCTTTTTAATCGTAAACGTCCGATTCGGGTTGTAAACTGTTCGAATGAATCGATTTTCATGAACAAACTCATGTTGACGAGAACGCCGAGGTCGCCGACTCCTCTACTGTTCCGTGTTCCGAATAACAGTTCTCCGGTGTCATACAGAAAGTATGTGCCAAATCGGAGCAGCAGAAACAGGGAGTCCATCTCCTGGTTCCACCTGCGTCTCAGGGAAACATACGGTCGCTTTTGGTCCACGATTAACCCCCTATTCGCCACCTGGGAACGCGCCTCGTAGCCTCGCGACTCATATGAGGGTCCTCTGTGGGAACGGTGTATAAGAAACCAAATTATTTTTCATGAATTGTTAGTAATAATGTTTACTAGTAATAAAAACTGCACGGCTGTTTACCCTGTGGCTGGATTGCATCCAGATGTCGAATTGCGATGTACAATGACGGCTCTACGAATCTCTCAAGGTGAAAAGAACGTCTACATTTAGAGTATAACATTTAAGAGTAAGCCTATATCAAGGTGTCGTTCAGGGGCTCGCCTGTTTCAGAAAAAAAAGTTTGCAAAGAAAGGCGATATATCAAAAGTGTGTTGGCTTTCACACTCCTTCATGCGAGCCCATCGAGCTGCTCTAGTGTGCGACAGAGACGAATGGAAGTTATAGGTGCTTGCTCAAGTTACTTGATGGTTATCAATCTTACTACAAGTAATGAAAGTAATAATAACGATAATAGTAATAATAAAAAAACATTAGTAGTAACAATATCTTAGCTCCTTAGATGTTTGCTCTGGGAGTTCAAACATTTCTTCCGTTTGTTTCTTTGTCTTGGAACTGTCATCCATGGAGTTGATCATATTCGGGTGTCGTTCCCGCTCCTCTTTTAGGATTTAAACATTTATTTATTTATTTGTGTTTACACTTATCCAACTATAAGTATAGCTGGTTTGTGAACAAACACCTTTCTTTCTGCTTGGCTGTAGAGCTCAGCCGTACCTCATGTTGACTGCTCGACCCAGATGCACCACATATTTGTAACATTTGGAAATAGTCATTCCGTGATTCTTCAATGGACCATCAGAAAATTACTTTCGTCATGAACATCGTCTCTCGGAGGTTTAGTTGAAGAACAGTTTTTCCACAAGTGTTGAAATCGGTCATCATTCGTCTCTTCTGTGATACTACCATATTCTCAACTCCACAAGTCTTCCAGCTATCGCAGCAGATCCGCAAAGAAATGAAACTAGACACAGTGTCGGATTCTTAACACTCAAACTCACCTATCAACATTAATTTCGAGGAAGTAATTCATTAAGGATCATGGAATGTAAGCCCATAGGAACAAATACCGCGGTTCTAATCGGACCCTCATTCGCATCCAATAGGAAGATAAACGTTCTACTTTGTTTGACTTTCATTTACGTTCCCTCTTTCCTCAGGATTCTACCAGAATACTCTTACGGCACACAACACACATTTAAGATTAACCTCAACACCCAACTGTTTCTCACATTGCCGTAACAAGAAATCTTTCATGATACTGAAATGCCACGTAGAGCAAGGTGTTTAACTACAGCACGATCACCTACGATAAGAAGGAAGTTCAACATTTTCACCCGAAAGTTCAGCTGCATGGAGAATTTGCTCAGGACTCACAATACATGAAGTCCTTCAGATATTAAGGATATTTAATAACTGATTCATATGACTCGAATTCCACACACTGCGCGGATAGCAGCATTTCTTTGCTTAGGTTCGCTATTTTCGAATTTGTATGTTAGTTCAACTGCTACATAAGAATTTGGCCTTCATCATGAATGTCGCTGAATGCTAGTTGATCTGATTCTTCATAAAACCCTGAGACAGCTCTGCCATAGCGCTCTTGATCGGAGGAAGCTTCTCCCGGAAAAGTCTGGTACCAATTTGCCAATCCAGTGGGATGAGTTTCTTGTCAGACATAAGGCGTGGCGGAACCAGGGACTGTCAGACATAAGGCGTGGCGGAACCATAAGGGGGTGAGTCATCGTTCATCACTCATTGCTAACCACTACGTTCCCCACGCCCCGATACATTTAGCATCGTAGGAACGCCACCATTAGATAGCGTCGTACTGTGTGTGAAAATAAGAAGTGTCTCAAAACATGGCACCCAGAAACAAGTGCATTGAAATCAATACATAATTCACGAGTTTTTTAAAGTGGATGGATGGGCTGCGAACTCCTTTGTAGCTTCGGAATATTCAATTTTCAAAACCTTACTTAGACATACTTAAACCATAAACCATAAAAATTGCTGTTAACATTTATTGCTTAAATAAACTTAATATTTTCTTAATATAGCAACGTTTGCTACCTGTTTCAAACAATTTCAATATAAGGGAAGGAATTACTGTAGATAGAAAAGAAGCAGGAATGTGGCCATGGACAGAACAGAGTGTGCGAGAGTGCTTGTAAGTGCGGATTTTCCCATAATATTACGGTTATAATTTGCTAACAATAACTGAATATAAGAAAAATCAAACGAGGCAGGAAGAAGAAACACGAACCTCTTATTTCAGTTAATACAACGCCAGTCATAATATTACAAATACCACATTGTGCGATATGAAACGAACCGGACAAGCGAGTAAGCAACATTATAGTCAGAAAACAACGCACTATTAAATTTACAGAAATGAAAGGTTAAACATCGCTTGGAAAGAATACAAGTGCCACACCAAAAACGTATGAGAAGGCTTCATGAAAAACAGTGAAGAAGAAAGACGATCGAACGTAATTCTTCGACAAACTGCTTCCATTAGTAGTGATTCACATAAGGCACACTACTGCAGACGGTCAGAGAAATCCAGGTCAACATCCGATTATAAGCAACTAAGGGGATCTCTGTATGCCCCATAAAGGATTAAACACGAAAGATTATGGTTCTAAAGACGGGTGTATACTACGCAAGTCCAATCATGATGATAAAGCTTTTAGGAGAAGTCACTATCACTAGTCACTTCAGTGCAACCTTATTTCTTAAAGATCTCCAGATACCCCAGACTAACAATTAAGGGACATTCTTACTGTATTGTGGATAGAGGATAGGTATAGTGGCATGTAATACAACTATACGATAAAAACTTTGGCCGCGTGAACAGAAAAAGGAATTGATTACCAACAATATCCACAAAATTCACTGCTTGTTAATTTTCATTGGAAGTTCTAGTACAGGGACTTCTGATGAAGTAGTCGGTCTTGTCATATGTTCACGTTGTCTGCTTGCTATCAGCACAGACATTTATTCTGTGCCCAAAACTTGGTTTTTTATTGGAACTCCTCGAAAAATAAAATGATATGTGGATGCGACCTGAGATTCCTGCTCTAGTTAAGAATAATGCGTAACTTACAACATAGGAAGACAATATGCTAATGCGAGATAATAAAAAATAAGACAATGAACACTGTTTACCACTCACATAACAGTACACTTACAGCATTTCTTTGAACCACGTCCTTGTCGCTTACTGTTTTCCGGATAACGGCGATTGATCTGTCGTATCAAATCGTAAAATACCTGCAAAACAAGTTTTCCAGCTCTAGTTACAATATGCGCAATAACTATCAAAGAATAACAGCTTGAATAATATCGAATGCTACGAAAGCAACTGCTTAAAACTTGTACAACCGTTCGATTGTTAGAGTCCTGAAGAAAAATACCCTTAGTCCAACCAAAGACCTACACATTTTCAAGTTTACAGAGTGGAAAAGCAGTCCATCTGTAGAAATACACATTTCTATTAGGCAAATACCTTCAGGAAAATATGTAGTAGTTATAAAATGATTTGAAGGCGCGTCTAGCACAGTGGTTAGAGGCGCCCTATAATACAAACGGGATCGATTCCGTGCTCCATGATCAACAAGCCATCCTTCTCTGCAGGATCGGCAAATTAGTACCAGACTTGTTTGCGAGGGTAGCAGCACTGGCTCGATACATTGGTGGCCCAACGCGGGTCATTGTATAAGCCAGCTGTAACTATCAATTACCTCTAACGATGCTTGTCGAAGTCGGGTGTACGGTGCATCCTTAGGATTGATCAGCACCGAAAGCCTTATCCTTTTATCCCTTCTAGAACGATTTAAAGTCGAAAGCTGAGCTAGGCGTTTCTATTCGAACAGCGCAAAATCCTAATTTCTGAAAATGCGGTATACTCAGTCATCAACTATATGCGACTATAATTAGCTGCTCTAATCTTCCTCTATGGAAATCACGTTAAAAGCGGCTAAGAAGAAGGCGATACTGCCGAAACATCAGCCACTGTTGTGATGTGTGTTTTTGTATGGAAGTAAATCTATGCTGTATAACAACCTCGCAATTGCTGAACAAGAAAACGACGCATTCATAATCCAACGCTGAGGTTAATAGAAGGTCGATCTGGGAACAGTGTAATCCGTAAGTATCAAGCTTAGTGGAAAAGGTTGTGCACCAAACACGACGGTAAAAAACAGGTAACATTTATGGATCGAAATACCAGGAAATGGGATGGAATATGGCAAGAGAAGAAGTTATACTACAACTCATTCAGACTGATCCCAGCTTTATATACGAGTTATATTTCGCAACATACCCTGCAATTAAAAAGAAAAAGGCAGTAAATAAAGGGGTTAGGATCCCAACTTTAGTTCTTACACTTATATTAACAGCACTAAATGCTACGCGTACAACATCGTACAACACGTACAAATCTTTGAAGTTTATGAAAACCCTTCAAAATCAGTACTTCCCCATGGCAAGGATTGGTCATGGTTGTGAAAAGGAACACTTTCAGGTTATTGCATAAAGGATATGAAAACGTTCTACTACAGGTTTCTTCGAACTCTGATAACGAAATCTTATCCTACTAGAACAATATCACAGTTTAGTAGAAAACATGGTGAAGTTTATGAGGCTTTTTGTGCATGAGAGACATTCAAGTACCAAATCTTTTTGACAAGATCCCAGGTTGCAAGTAATGAATATGTCCAACAGAAGTTTTAGTAATAAATGGGTAAATAAATTTATTAACTTAAATAACTTTGAGTAACACAAACCTCATTGACATTGATTTTAGCTTTGGCAGATGTTTCCAAGAACGCACAGCCAAACTGACGAGCCAAATTTTGTCCTTGATCTTTGCCAACTACACGTTCGTCTTCTAGATCGCACTTGTTTCCGACCAAAATCATTGGCACCTTCAAATAAATACATCTCATTCAACATGAATTCAGGCGACCAGTAGTGCTGAATTCTGAAAGAAAGGTAGCATACTTCATCCGTATCCTTGACTCGTAGAATTTGGTCGCGAAGATCCATAAGATCATTGAATGTTGACTGAGCGGTGATCGAATAGACAAGCACAAAACCTTGTCCATTTTTCATGTAAAGATCACGCATTGCAGTGAATTGTTCCTGAAATTGAACGCTGTCTGTGTTATCAGTGAGCAGAATAAGAAATTTAACTCCTAGTACAAACAGTTAGAAATAGACGTTCATTTCAATTGGGGAAATCATGCTTTCTTCTTCTGTTTTTCAAATATCGGTGACAACATGAGGAAGATATAACTTCAAAATAAGAAGGATTCTAGAAGATTTTTAAGTTAATACTATAAAAAACGAACCGTTCCGGCAGTGTCAAGAATTTCCAACATACATTGCTGCCCATCCACTTCGACTTGCTGTAATTTTAAAGGTAGCAAAGGATTTAGTTTAGAAAAAGCAAACAATCACTTAGATGATGAAATAAGTAATCAAAGAACCACTTGCCTTTCTATAACTATCCTCAATGGTAGGGTCATATTTCTCAACGAAAATTCCTTGCACAAATTGAACAGTCTACAACAAAGGTTGGTTATTTTCCTTCCCAAAGTATTCTTTTAATGTTAGAAACGTCAATATAACACTCAGCACATTAAAGTACGAATATGTTGAAGTACAGTCTACAGAAAGTATTAAATATCCGGGACAATAGAGAAAAAAAAAACACCAAAGACAAAAAACTCACCAGTGCCGACTTTCCTACGCCACCACTACCCAGAACTACGATTTTGTATTCACGCATGATTCCCTGGAAATGTTATCTAATGAATACTGAAATTTTCGGATGCAACAAAACGATACAAAGATGTCAATGAGCATTTGATCGAACCGCGTTTGACAAAAACCAGGATAGCAAGAAAGCTGGAAACACAACAGACGTCCGAAGAAAGTGTGATGAAAACTGTTCTCGAACTGAGACAGTGGACAATGGCTAACTTTAAAGAACATGATAAACTGTATCAATGCGAGCCACGTGAAGCTTAAAAACACAAAATCTAGCTGGGTTTCAATTGAACATCGGGTACCACTTTACACAAACCACCGAAACTTCGTTTTTGTACTTCTTTGTAGTACTGTTGTCCTAGACCAATCTAAACTGATACGCGAACACCCATTCGTTTTTGATAACATTTCCTCCAATTATTCTCGTTTTTATATACTTTACACAGTACTTAGAAACGAACTAAATTAGAAGAACGCATTAATTGTACTAAAAGCAGCACATTAATTAAGCAAAATTCTTCCTAAATTAGAATGAAACATTACCAAAACCCTGAGCTCGGCAGTAAGAAACACTGTTTCTCTTTGTTATTCTAGAAAAAAGAAAACAAATTAGAATACCTGTTAGCAACAGCAATGTCAGCCTGCACAGCAAACAGATCGTCTGTTGACTGCTCGAACGGAGAGACTCGACAGAAAATGTGTGGTGCTTTGCCTTCAGGAGAATGCAAACATACAGGGCAAAGTGATAGTAGAAAAAATAGTTAGTGATGAGAACACAAACATCGGCGATAACAACAAATGCGTGAAAAATGAGCGCTTCAAGTGACATGAGCACCACAAATTAACGCATTGATGTATAAGGATAAAGGGTAAAGCTCATGTGGTTGATCAATCCCTGAGGGGTACGCCATGCATTCGACTTCATTAAGCACCGTTTGGAGGTGATTGGATGCATATCTAACCTTTACATTGACTCACGGTAGCTTACCGATGTATCGAGCCACTGCTGCCATGCTTCCAGACAAGTCTAGCAACAATCTGCTGACCCCGGAGGGATGGAAGGCTTGGTGGGCCAAAGGCGCCGGAATCAATCCCATGTGTATTGCATGGCACTTTCGACCACTGCGCCACACGCGCCATTGATACATATATGTATATAGTCTTCTTAAAAATGACTTCAAACTGATCTTAGTTCGGTGATCCGACCGTCGCCTTGACATATTGGTTCCATCTAAAGTAACCGGTTGTGTAACCTTCAAATAGACATCCATATGCATAAATGCATTGATTTCATGGCATTAGAGAACCAATATAGAAACGCAGATGTAAGAATGCACTGGTCGATCTTTCATTGAAAAGGTTTGAAAGCCATGAAGAATGCTTGACGGAATGGTCTGAATGGATGAGTGATCAGGCGAGTTCTCCCAAGCATCCCGAAACAACACAGACCATATGAACGAGGGAACTGCCTTTCCTGGGACGAAACACAACAATTCAATATTTTAAAAAGCCTGATAAAAAACAAGCAATCAAACAAACAAACAGATGAACCAATAACAATAGTCATGGCCTCAATATTAGAAGCCTACTGAGATATCGCCCATACGCAGTAAAATTTCTAATCACAGTCTATCAGATATGAAAAGTGTAACGATTACATTCGTCCCCGTCCAAGAATGTAATGATTAAACCAAAGACGGTCTCATGACAGAAACTTGCAAATCAATTCTAGAATGTTCCTTGTGAACAAAAACCGATTTGCAAAGGATGCAAAAGAAAGATATCAGTTCGTAGTACAAGTAGACTCCTTTGTCACTGAAAACCGAAACGGCTACAAATTTTGCAATAGTTTGAACGAAAGACCAAATTTGTAAACTAACCAGGTAGGAAGTAGTAATAGTAAATCAACAGCAAAGGTGCCTAGGGTATGATAGTACTTCCGCACTGTACACTGCGTGAAATGGAAGGTGTACAGAAGGAAATCGATCCGCTCTGAGCTAACAGGAAAACAAACGGAAAAAAGAAAAGAAAAACAACGAGTACGGATGATGAACGCTATTCATTCATGCTTTCATTAAAAAAAAATGACTCAACCCGTTTCTGTGCGTCAACGAGAACGATGAGCAAATTTAAGCATCTTCTAAAAATCTCCCCTTCGAACGGCAAAAGAACCTAGCAAACTAACAAAACACAGATTCTCTACAGAATCTATGGAATGATTAAGATTCAGAATAACCTTAGACGACTTAGCACCAACGGAATTTTGTCCACAAAAGAACACGACCTTCATAAATGTATAGGAATGAAGAAAACTACGATAACAGGGAGGTTCCACTTGCGACCGTTCATATGTTCATCGTTCTCCACTTAAAAAAAAATGAAAAAAAGTTCAAGATAGAAGATAAGTATTGATTCATTTCCAGGACGACCTCTTCACGTTCATATTTCATACTTTATCATATTCACGAAAATATTTACGAACGAGAAAAATACTTTTGTTATATCCATGGAGGTTCATAGTGGGTACTGCAAGATCCTATGGATCATTAACAAGGAACATTGGAGAGTTGTCAGAGAACAAAAGCACATATTACAGAAGGTCATCTGACTAAGTAAACGTTTGGGACCATATTTATGGAGAAACATAATAGATACTGCAGGATCCTAAGGACCTTTAGCACAGGATCACAGGACATTCAGGAGGTGCGACAAAATACAAGCACATATTCCAGAAAGTCATCCGACTAAGTGAACGATTGGGGTCATAGGGAAACATACTTCTATGTGAATGGAGCCCTCCATGTTGACGTCTTTCGATTATTGTCGGACGCTCGTCACTCGACTGTTGTTCACATCACTTCAGGTTTATTCGTCTCTCCTCAAGGTCGATGAGGTCGGATGTGTTGAGAAAGTCCGCGCAAAATTCGTCTACTATTGTGTCAATGGTATAAATAGCAGCATAAATGACTATTAAGCAACTTTTCCTTTCCCTACTGATCTGATGATTCCACAAAGAGCTCAAATAACTTATTCACAAGTTTCCATAAGTAGATATTCCACGTGGCGATAACACCTATAGCCTTAGATTTGTATATCATTACCAGAACAGAGTCTTAATATCGATCGCCTAAAACAAAAGCGATCTTAACATTTCACTTTTACAATACTTCAACAGCAAATGGTTTTAACGTAGTAAAAGAGGACAATGGGAAATTCTACGTTGTTGGATGTTATTTTTACGTAGCAAAACGGAAAGTAATGCCGAATCGTACTGGGCCCATCATGACACTGCTCATGTGGGCGATGTGTAATGATTTTGAATGGAGGTCGTATGGGATTATAGCCTCAGCCTATGTCAACGGTACATTTCCACTTGGTTACCAAGGTCATTGCCGAGGTAATAGAAGGGCTATAGTCGAGCGATGCTAGTAAGTATGACAAACAGTACTAGGATTTAATACTCTGCCAACATTTTCTAACAGTATTTTATAAAGCAGGGTTTTTTAATCAGGCTTAGAACAAAGCATAGGTTTCCCTGATTTTTGTAGCCACTGCAGCCTTGGTGAGCCATTATCCTTGACTTTAGTTCTTCATTGATTTATACAATGAATCCATTGTCAAAACGAAAGTTTAAGACCGTGTAGAGATCTTCTTATGTGAACAAAAAAAAGTGACATCCCAAATGTGGCTTGGAAGAGTCGTGCTCATCTACGTCTTGACAACGCATTCGTACTGCGCTCCCTACGAAACAAAGGGAAAAAACTGGGCGATATTCATGGAAGCAAACTGCTTTCCGTTTCTCGTTTCCTAAGGCAGAACCAAAGCAGTTTTCCCAATCTAAGCCTTAGGATGCTCAGTGTTGGTGAGAACAGCACTACAACTGACTTAAGTGCCTTAGTAATCGTACATCCGTCGAAATGCTAACAGTGAAATGGACACGAACCGTAAAGCAGGACAGATCAGCTCTGTTTGGGTTACAACTTACTACAATAGAGTAAAGCGATAACCACGTGGTCATACAAGACCAATAATCACTATGAAAATTAACGACATTTATAAGACTTCGATGTTAAAACCTTACCACTTTAGTTCGACGCTCTACAAAACCTAAATTGGTGGCGAAATAGTGGAAAACGAGTCAATCGACCGAGTAGTTCTGCTTCTTTAGAACATCACGTCAACAATTACCAAGGACACGTACGTCGCTGGTGTGAGCAATATATGACTCATGCATTTCACAATAATGTTAAAGGGTGGAAAAAAATGGTGATTAGAGCGCGTTTGTTTTACAGAGACATGTAGAAGCGAGACTTTTGTCCTTGTAGTGTTTGTGGTATTGTCTGATGCTATTCCACCGTCTATAGTGATGAATTCGATTACAGTGGTCCAAGATAATATTAAGGCAGGTTTCCTAGAGGCTATTTTTGCAACTTGAAAGAAATTTTAAAAAAATTTTAAATTGTTAAATGTGAAGTAGAACATTCGCGTTTTGATTCATATGTCGTACGTAGGCAGTGCTGGATTTGGTTCGGGATGCGTGCGTCAAGTCTTCGCTTTCCAAGCAATGTACCCTAGTAGCTGTTTCGAAGACGAAACCTAAGGAGCTGATTCAGGCTTGCTATGCAGTCGGTCAACGACATTTCGGCGAGAATTATGTCCAGGTAGACGAGCTATTGCTAACGTACTAATATACCTTTGTTTTGAGGTACTGACATGGCCAAGAAATTGGTTTCATTTCTAGTTGAATTATTTCTCGCTGTTGTAAAGTTACATCGGTTACTCTGTTGAGGAATGCAAAGGAATATCTATAGTTTTACTTGCTTACTTGGATACTTAGATGACCCGTCTTCACTCGTTGTGCGAGTCCCAGCATAATTTCCACTTTTTCGGGGTTTTGCTGGTTTAGCCGTCGAGCTTCTTTCGAGTCCCGGAGTCAGCCTGGCGAAAGTCTGCCCCAGGTCGTAAACACCACAGGCAGTCGCAGCCCTTGTGGATCTGAAGGAGATTTGCCACCATGCGACTTTGATACAACGATTGTGATGGATCCTGGTATTGGTTTACTCTTAGCTTAGCTTCCTGGTAGAAACGCCGGCCTCCTCAGCTTGGGAGACCCTGCCGGTGGGACGAATCACCCCGCTGTACATCGCATCCCGACACCCAGGAATACCTCCAAGCCACGATGAGGCGGTAAACCGTTGGGGCGATCAGTAGTCTTATCTATAAGAATGTTGCAGACGTATGATTAGTTCTTTTTATGAAGTTTCCGAGTTTTTATATGGTCCTCTATTAACGATTGGATACGACGCTCATGAGATTTCGATCGTCATATTGCCCATTGCAGTTTTTAGGAACTGGAAGAGAAGTCGATTGCTTTGCAGAACGAGTGTCTAGACATAAAGTGGCATTACATTGGGAAAATCCAATCCAACAAAGTATGATAGTTATTTTTATCTTTTCTGTGGTGCCGGGTGAGGTACTTTAATCATCTGCATTGCTGCTTTGCCTAGATACCTAAGCTGTGCTCAATACCGTCACTGTATTGTGTGGAAACTATTGAGTCTGCGAAACATTGTGATATCTTCAATAAGGAGATGGAGAAGAGACAAAGTGTGCTGGATGTTCTCGTACAGGTGAACACAAGTGAGGAACAGCAAAAAGGAGGTGAATCTTCATAGATTTATATGTGATTGCTCACAAGAGTCCATCTTCTGGTTGATTTCGTTCCAGTTTCCGATTGTTGGAAAAAGGGCACTATTGTCATTACTGCTGTCAGACACTGATTTATAGGCTTATCGATAGTAGAAGCCCCTGATCTTGCTTGCTATATAGCAGAAAATTGTGCTCACTTAAATTTTGCGGGTTTCATGACTATTGGCTCTGTAGAAAACAGGTGGGTTTTATCTTAGGTGCTTGCATAAGTAGGATAACATCATCACAATCGGCTTCTTAAGTCCTCTAATCGGTCGTTAGAATAAATCCAAATTTATTTCAGCCATATAGTTCCCAATCCTGACTTCGAACGTCTGTATAAAGTTAGAGAAACGTGGGCTATTACTACATCTCGACTACCAACTGAAGTTCACTTATCTATGGGAATGTCTGATGACTTCGAAACAGCCATCGCACAAGGAAGCACTAGTGTTCGTGTAGGAAGCAAAATTTTCGGACCCAGGCTTTGCCAATAAACTTGATTTAAAACCCTTACAGGCTAGTTCTGTGCTTACTTCAGGTGTGAAACTCGGGTTGAATTGGTAGTGATGTGAACTGTTCAGTTACTGACATGTTTTAGCGCCACATTTGCACCAAGGGAACGCTTAGGAAGCTCGTGCAAGGAAAAGAAAACGACTGGGAAAAGTGAATTTAAATTAATCTCAGTTATTCAATTGGTGCGAAAAAATCTCATACCCCTTGTTTGAGCACTGGAATTAATGCTTGTCACCACAAACGTGGTAAATATTTTCTTTTTTGAAACTTTCTTGCTGTTTACTGGAATAAATACTTGTTATGTATGTTGTTTATGTCTCTGGCGTTGATGATTCGCCTTGTACAATGATTCGTTACATGTTTGGACGTCTTTCAGTTATAGACATAGAGAGTTTTTCAATGTTTTCGTTGTTTGCAAGGTTCAAGATCGATGCCATTTGTGAAAACAGATTTTTCCATCCCTCTGAATGAACTAAGGCGACAATCTGCTAACAAAGAAGAGGATCTAGCAGGAGGGACCAACTTTCGACCAATCTGTGAGTGCTGTCTTGAAGTTGTTTCAATAAATCTTCTCATTGATTGAAAGCAGAATATTCAGGTTTGAAGTGCCGCGTTTTCAATAGTTCTCCAGGATCAGCATATGCAGAATTTGGCGAGACCAAAGTACTCACTAGAGTGTATGATAGTTTTTTATGTTAGCTTTTTTGTCTTGCTTATCGTACTACTAAAGAAGGGTGAAAAGTGTAGGTATGGGCCTATCGAAGATCCAAACGGCGACTTCTCTTCAGCCTCATTATCGGTTGGTATTTCCAATAAGATTTTGGTGTATATAACTTGTTTTTTCTTTTGACTATAACAGCATGACAATTCTAGCGTTTCAGCTAAAGATGTTAGGTATTCCGGCTTCTGTTCAAATCGAATCGCAAGTATTGTCCATGATCAAAACATGCGTTATGGTACACAAATATAGTCAATGTTCTTTCGAAGTCGAGGTTCGTACGTTGTTTATTGAGAGAAGAAACTGGGAATTAAATGGAAATAGTCTGTAAACAGTAGTTCAAGCGATGACAAGTTTTGTGATCCACTTTCAGTCTTGTTGGTTTACATCAGTAATAATCCATACCTTTGCATGATCTTGAGATAATTGCAATTCCAGTGTTTTTCTGAAATTGCTTTATTACATTCTTCATCTTAGGTAACCGCTCTAAACGATGACGGTGGACTATTGCAATGTGTGATGATGGCAGTATCACTAGCTCTAGCCGATGCTAAAGTCCTTGTATGTTCAGGGAAAGATTTTTCAGTTTTAATCAGCGCAATACACTCAGGAGTGCATAGTTTTATCGCTTGCAGGCCGCATTTTTGTCAATGATCATGCTCTGGGTGCCCTCCGTGCAAATTGAATCAATGTGAATTGTCGCGAATGCGTTGACAACAGATTTTCTGCTGGGTATTTGGAAATGTCCAAAGCTTTTTAATAACAAGAATAGACGAGTCATATGGCAAGGCAATCTAAACGAGATAAAAGATCTCGAGTATTTGAAATTATGTCTGTTTGCAAGAAGAAACTATGATGGATGGTTTTTCAAAGATTATTTTGTGCATGATAGTTCTTTTGTTTACGTGGTCACAACTAAATTGTCTCGTAGAATGAGTTGTTCAAAGATTCTTGTCAATTATTGTGCTCGTAACGTCAATAGTGATACATAATGAATTCTAATGCGACAGCATTTCTAGCTAAAGACGAAGAACGATTCAATAGTGTTTAAGGAGTGTTTTAGAGAATGCAAGAAGTATTTCTCAGCTATGTGAATAGAGGATGAAAGTATCCTTGTGATGGTTTATGTGTTTACTGACTGGTTTTTTGGTCAATTACTTTCTTATTCATTTAGAGTCTATTGGTTGTCATGAATTTGTTTCAGGTATTAGATATGGTAGTTGCTGCTCATGTTGCTCGTACTCCGTCTGGACAGTGGATAGTGGATCCAACTCGTCATCAAGTTGTTCCCGGTTATTCTGAGTGCACTATAGCAATGATGCCGAACCAAAATCAGGTAGCTGTAGTAGTTTTAAAGCCATTTCGTTTTTTTCGTTAAAATTCCTTGCCGATTCGACTTATATGAAACCTACCGAGTCCGGCTCCCTTGATATCACGTCTTTTTAAGATGTGGAACTTTCCACAGTGAACATTTGCCGTCCATTTTCTACTTTGCAGATAGTCTGTTGTGATATTCGAGGTGGACACGTTACTAGTTCTCAGGTTGAAGAGTTCATTTCGTTCGCTACGGATAAGGCAATGAGGCTGTATCCAGTGGTACGGAAAGCGTTACTAGCCACAATTCCAGAAGGAGATGCCAATACTTGTTAATTTGCGCATAGTGTTAGCTGTATCTGTAAAAAATTTTAAGTAGATAAGTATTAGCTGTAAAATATTCTCATATATTCATTTGTAGGAACAAATTGGAATATTTTATAGTTAATACTTACTTGAATGGCCTGTCTTTGAGAGTAGCGCGGGCCCTAGCACATTTCCATCCTTTTCTTTTTTTCATCTATGGTGGTGATCTGCTTCGAACATGTTGATTTCCGCGAGACACATTCCGTAATCCTAAAATAGTTTCCGTCTACGAATGTAGATCGTCGCCGTTAGTCATGATGATGTACGCCCTTCGTTTGTGTGGTCGTAGAAGTGTCCATTTGGATTTACTCCAAGAGGGTGTAGCGTCTTCTTGGACGACCACCTTCTTGATGGGCGTCACCTTATCCCAACCGAGCGACCATCATGGACTCTGAATGTGCGAAGACAAACGAGCGGAAAATGTGCTGGGACCGATATTCATAGTTGAAGACGGGCAGTCCAAGTATTTAAGTAACTGTGGACTGTAAAATGTCGTCATTTATTGTTGCACTTGTCACCAGTATTACGATATAGGTAAGATGCCTTTATGTATAGTCTATGTTTTACCGAAGGTTATCTTGTTATTGTTGCTGACACATCCTTGAGGGAAATACGCAAATTACTATCCAGTTTACTGCCTGTAGTGAAATTTTTCATGTGATAAAATATTGCCGCAAAAGTTACTATAATTTTTTTAAAAGAACGGAATGGTTGAGGGAAGTCAGTAATTTTAAGCCGAAATAAATTTGATGGTGTAACTTAAGGGTAAAGCATTAACCATCGATCAAATCCCTAGGAGATGCGTATGTGGCCCGTACAGTGACTTATTGAAAGCCAGTGATGTTCCAAATCAGTGTTTACATCTTGCCAGATAAATCTGCAGCTAAGGTGCCAACTAGAGATTTTGAGGTCTTGATTAGTCCCAATGTGGAATTGTACCAATGGCCGTGTGTAGTATTGCAGGGCACCTCTTACCGCTAAGCTACCAAGGTATGCATGAGGTAATTGTGCATACCAAAGGCGCTCATTCTTACATCAGAAGCCTTGATGATTGAACAACTCGTGTTCATGATGATTATTAAGTGGTTTAAGGAACTCCGACAAAATTTTCACTCGTTTATATGAGTTTGAAAATTACTGGACATCGTTGTGTTTAGAAAACATGTATCATGTATTGTATTTTCCTTTAGAGGTTTTGGCAAAGACATTTGATAATCAGATCGACGTCTTGCGATCACAGACTTGACGTCGCCTTCAACGAGGTGGTAACGTTTGTGGTCTTAGATCATCGATATGATTCAGAGTTGCTCTGGCGGGAATACAATAGGGTGCACCTAGCATCATCCTATCGATATCTTGTTGTATTGGTCATGTTGACAAGCGAGTAGGAGATTGCCACAAAGCTTCATTGTAGCTAATGTTTTGGCGCTTCGGGTTTCTTCAGAGATGGATCAAGCATAGAACACAGTAGAAATCAACACTTACAATCAAAATCAATTCATAAATAATGTTGCAGTCCATTCGAAAACGGTGAACGCACCTTGCATCTACCCAAGAAGAATCCTCTTGGCTATCTATGCGAAAAGAGGACCTAGTCGACCCATATAGTTGAAAAGGTGGTTATGTCGCCTTCTCTTTTTTTTCCCGAAATAGAAGCAAAGCACGTTTTATTAGCAGCATTGTTGGATATTTCTCAGGAAACTTTAAAATTAATCATCGTCTTTATGTGTTTTTACTGTAATTCTGTAATTGTGCACCGTTAGATCTCCGCCAATTCATGGCCACTTCGATTTCACTGAATGCGTTCATGAGGTTTTCCGAAAATTAAGATCAGCTTTCAGCCTGTATTTTTAAAGTGGCGTTGTAAAGTAAGGGGGAGGATGGCCTAGTGCTATTGGTGCCATTCACCACGAGCACGATACTGGTCTGATCTCGATCTGGGCTCACCAAGCCTGGCATTCTTCCGGGTTTGGGAATTTGGTACTAGACTTGTTTGGGAGCAAATCACTTCCTCATATGCACGCAGGAACGCTCTGGCACAGCTATCCCAGAACTCGTGAAAGAGTCGGCTCAACCCTTCCCCTCCCCTCCATTCAGCGACCTAAATAAAGAAGACAATAATGCTTAAGCATCGGCTGGAACCACACATTAGCAGCTCGAAGGCCTTCGTTTTGATGGATACTAGGAAACGAGTGGAATGCAAAAAGTGCTGGCTCTGCACGGTAGGTGTGAAGATGGGTCATACAAGATAAAAAAAACTCCAAAATAGGATATCTCAGCTCAGAATAAACTTTGTTAGTCTCACAACAAACTTTATTAATCGAGATAAAAGCAATAGAATGTATACATCTTTGCTAACGAGAAACAAGTTTACTTATAACAGTCGCACAAAATCCTTGTCTTCCGGGGCGATGAAGTCGATGAATGCAATTCCGGCCTCGGCTTGGTTTCTGAAGCATTTCTCATACAAAAAGTTATCGCAGTGCTTGAAGAAATGATATTCGGTAGACGAGAGGTTCGACGATGGTGGATGGACAGAGTTTCTGAGCCCAGCTCGTTCAACTTCTCCAGCTCCGATGATGCGACCTGTGGCCGCGCGTTATTGTGAGGAAGAATTGATACTTTTGTGTTGATCAATACCAGAAGAACACGTTGAAGTTTCTAGTGCGTTCCGTCGTTTTACTGGACATCCTTCTCTGACGGAATCGTTTCACTTGGATCCAGGAAGCCATTTGAACCAGTTGTAGGTCACTGAAAGGTTAGCATATGCTTCTTTTATGCAGTTTCGGCTCTGGAATATGCAACGTGGCGTCGTCGCCATCAAAAACTCAGGCGTTCGTTGTTGTCGTAGAGGATACACTTTTCGTCTTATGTCACAGAATGGTTGAGAAACAGTTTACAAAACTGTTCATGCTACGTCGACTATTCAAAACGATGGCTTCTTCTTCATCTTAATGCATATTGATTTCTTCGGTATCTTCGACCTTTGAGTTTTCTCCAGATGTTCAGGAACAGCTGAGATGCCTACAAAGAGTTATTCTACAAGTTCTCAGACATTTGCTTCCTTCCAATTTTTCAACTCGTCGTCGTCAACAGCAGAACGAAGTCCGCGCCATCCACCATGTTCAAGATCGAAGTCGCCACAACAAAATTTTTCAAAACAACTTCACATTACTACATTGATAAGCTAACATGTGGTTGTCACCAAATATTTGTTCGGATAATGTCTCGACGTCTTTGTCTTCCACTTCTCTGAGGACGTTAGCCGAATAAATATTTGGTAACAACGTCGTGTTAGCTTATCAATGAAGGAAAGTACATTAGTCATTTGCACCGAGGTTAAATGAAAGTCGCTTTAGGATAGTAGACCTCGTATTGTCCATTTCTTAAACCCTTGCCTGGCCGCGTATCTCATTAATAGTTCGAGCTCACGCGCCACACGACCAAGCTCAATTTCGTAGTAGGCTTGTTGAAATCGTTGTTTTGACATTTCGGATTTGCATTGGAAAGTACAATTTGTGTTGTAATTAAATTATACCCTGCGAAAGTGCATAGAATGAGTTTGAGAAAACATATGCGTGGAAGACGAAATTCCAAATCCAACATTAACTTTCGAAGAACCTAATATAAGCACCAATGAAGCTAAACAATTGCTTAGTTCAGCTTTTTTCTTAGTTATTAATTCCGCCACTAACGGGATGATGCGAAAAAAGCAGAACGAGGAGACCAAGCAGGGAAATGAAGGCTGCGGTTGAGCGTCGCTCTCTGGTCCATGATAACCTAATTTGTCTACTTTTACCGTTTAACTTACTGTTTTTTTCCCGAGAAAATGAGCGGAAGCTAAAGTCACTCTTGAAGCTTCTAGGATTCCATGCATATACACTTGCTCAAATCTATTCGTTGCAAAAATTTCATACCTACAAAATAAACCTGTTGTTTATTTTTTGTGGTAGAAGAGATGGGAGGCCACAGATTGTAAGCATCACTTTCATTTCCTGGATCAATTGGTAAAAATCCTCTAAGGATGACGTCATATGTTGTTCGCCTTGGCCTAATGGAAGCGTGATTCAAGTTTGATTACCCATATTTTAAATACCTAGAATTTCGGCACACATTGTCTTTAGGAAGGATTCCTTTGACGATCTGGTAAATATTAACTCACTTTGTTAATAGTACCCAAGATCGACTTTCTATTAATCTTTGCACTGGATTACGAATTCGTCGTTTTCTCTCTCAGCAACCGCGAGGTTGTTAAACAGCAGCTGTTTAACACTTTGTTAATGTTAACTTATCATTTACTTCCTACAACAATTTCTCACGGCAGGGTACTATGCGAAATCAACCACAACGATGCTGAGATATTTGGAAAAATGGTGGAGAATGAACGCGATATTACTCTCTACAGGTGCTAACGCTTCACCACTACACCATGCGGGTCCTTCGCCTCACCTGTCTCCCAACTAGTTTAGTACACTTTGTTAACTTTTTTATTAACTGCCTGCTGCAGTTTTCACTGCAGGGTGTTGCAATAATTAATTTAATTAACATTGTAATAGTACCGCTCTTGAAAATTGTAGTAGGCAGTAAATAAAGAAGTTAACATTGTGATTCCGACTGCACCCTCAGCTTAATTGGGTTCAATGCCGATTTGGGCTTTATAGATTAATCTCGTTGACAGATGATTGCCGATGACACTATTAGATAGAAAAGTAGCTGAGAGACAGACGAAACGAAGAAGCCGCATGGTGTGGTGGTGAACGCGTTAACCCCGGAAAAAGTAATAGCGCGTTCGATCGTTGCCGCAGACACCTGCGGTCTGAAGTTTTGCGAACAAACACTTTATTTTCGTAAAGTGTATTTTTCCAAGCCTTAGTGCAGTTTTCAGAATCGGTGTGCTATGTTATAATCACAATTTCAACTTATTATTTATTGCCTACTCTTTTTAACGGCAGGGTATTAAGCGAAATATA